ATGCAGTTAGCCTCGCTGCATGCAGTTAGCCTCGCTGTATGCAGTTAGCCTCGCTGCATGCAGTTAGCCTCGCTGCATGCAGTTAGCCTAGCTGTATGCAGTTAGTCTGGATGTATGCAGTTAGCCTGGATGTATGCAGTTAGCCTCGCTGTACGCAGTTAGCCTAGCTGTATGCAGTTAGCCTCGATGTACGCATTTAGCCTAGCTATATGCAGTTAGCCTCGCTGCATGCAGTTAGCCTCGCTGCATGCAGTTAGCCTAGCTGTATGCAGTTAGCTTTGCTGTATGCAGTTAGCCTCGCTGCATGCAGTTAGCTTCGCTGTATGCAGTTAGCCTCGCTGCATGCAGCAAAGCTAACTGCATACAGCTAGGCAGTTAGCCTAGCCTTCTTGCTGAATATATTTTTTCTTGCACCATTTCTCTCTCTCTCCAATGCGTCTCCAACTCCCGCATCACTTGCTGTCAATCACTCGCAAATTGTCTGTTGCTGATGCGCAAGTACACTTCCTGTCACTTTAGGTCGCTGCTTAGCTGCGCTTGTCACTATCTGATCCGTCCTGCGTGAACAGAATAACTTCCTGCTAGGCAATACTTTGTTTTTCTTATTTTTAAACTCTTTTCTATTTTTCTGGTGGGGGGGTTCCTTTTGACTTTCATTTGTGTAAATATCGCATATTCTAAAAACGAAAAAAAGCATAACCGTTAAATAGCCTTTGGAACGTTACCATGACTGCTCTGAGCGTGTACCATGATGACGTCACGCAATACAATGAAGAGAATGGAAAATGTATTCATTTCTTCAAGAAAAGTCTTCATTATTTTCTATATGATGTAATTTAGCATCATTTAATGTTTTAATTACATAAATAAGTATTGTCAGTACCGTTATTACGTAGTTTTTCTGCGATCCAGATCTTATTATTCTGTTTGCGTAGGACGGATCATGCTTCCGGGACGAATCAGGAAGGTACATGCACCATGGGCCGTCCTCTCCTTCTGTATTGCAGAGGAGCTGCTGTGCATGTACAACTTTAGGAGTCAATGTGTAAACATTTCTGTGCCCTATGGCGGAAATACGTCACCAATCCATCAAAAAGTGATGCTTTACTCGATATTGAAGATTGAATATTTATCTTGCACATCTAAAATATATATATTAAAATGTGAAATTTTTATTTAAAATTAAATCTTAAAAAAATATTTTTTTTATTATGCCCTAATCAGGGTCATTGGTTGGGTGGGTCAGCGCTCTAGCGCCCTCTATTGGCCAGCCGCCACTGATAAATTACCGTTGGACAGTCTTTAGCTGCTTCAGAGAATGCATCAGTGTTGGTTTTATCATCCGTTTCAGTCCTCTGTCCCACCTAAGGAACCATCCATCCAGGCACCGCGGTGTGACCCGGAAATCAGCCCCAGAACCTTCCTCCCGTCTGGCCCAGTCTGCATGAGCTCCCCTCGTTTTCAGCCATGGATCGCCACCATCCTCATTATCGCCTCCATCTAAACTACAACTACTGCCTCCTGCTGAGCTCACCTCCTCCTTTCCTGCACATTGTTTTCCGGCCGGACACCAAGATGGCCGCCGCCTGGCTAGCAGCTGGGATGGCCTAATCCCACTTTTACAGGACTTCACTAACGGAGCATGACGTTCTGGTTAACGATCACAAAGATCACTTTGGTGCAGGGATCCAGCTCCAGATTTCACTTGTCTTAACTTCATATCTAGTATTTTATTTATTATGTGTTGATAGTTTTTCACTGACTTCATTAACAAGCAATGATTGTTCTGTTGGCCACAGATCTTCTGTCATCCGTATGAAACTCAGTGTAAAAGTGATTCATAAGAATCTGAAAGCCATGCACCTCCTTCTGCCAGCTCAGTACTGTAGGACGAGAAGAACACACTACTATTACGGGTGCAGTGCATTACTAGGCTTCTGTCTCAATGAATATCCAGTGCTCTTCAAACCTTTTTTTATTGTATTTATTTCATTTATTTTGAAATATTAATATATCTATTCAGTTGTACATGTTTTTCTTTTGTTTACTGTAACATCAGAGCGTGTTGTTTCCGCTCTCCACAGGGACGAGTAAATCTGTGATTCTTTTTTTATTTTGTTGACTGGAGAAAACACTTTTAATAACACTGTATGGATTTACATATTGGCCTATTTCTTACTTCTATTGCCCCCATGTAGATGAATGTTACATTGCTTAATTGCTAATTCTAATAAACTTCTACCCTTAATCTGTTTTACTCCTTTTATGTTACAGAAATGCACCTGAAAGAAGGTCAGTTAACAAATGAAATCTATGAAAATAATCATGGTTACAGTTTGATTATTGATCCTATAAGAACGAGAACAGAGAAACATTCAGTTCCCATGTTTCGGCCGGCCTGTTATTGTCTGACAGTGATGTGCTGACTTTTACTACCTATTTTCACAGCTGAAGGTTCAATTCTTCTATTCATTTATTTCTATAGCACCGATTCACCTCATGTCATCTCACGGCACTTTATAGAGACAATTAAACCAGATTATCAAGTCAGATTGGTTCAAAGTTTTCTATCTAAGGAAAACATTGATTGCATCGACTCATTGACTCTTCAGCAATCCCTCACACTAAGCATGCTTGTAGCGACAGTGGAGAGGAAAAACTCCCTTTGAACAGGAAGAAACCTCCAGCAGAACCAGACTCAGTGTGAGCGGCAATCTGCTGAGGCCTACTGCACTGGAAAAACGAC